TCTGTCTTAGAAGAAGCGCAGCCAGAACAGTGCTTAGATGTGAGGACGGTGAGACTTTGTCACGTATACTTCAGATGTGTTATCAGGAGCCACCAGCTCCAGGAGAAGGACCTCATGCTTAGTAAAGAGGAAGACCTTCGTTGAGCTGGACTGACACAGTGGCGGCAATAATGGGCTCAGACATAAGGATAATTGTGAAGATGGCTGGGGCAGGATCGGGCAGTGTTTTGTCCCGTTGTACATAGACTTACTATGAGTCAGAACCAAACTGAAGGCACCTAACAGCAACACAGTCTTCTGTTTTGCTCAATACAAAAGTATTAGAGAGGATTCCTACTCAATGGCCAAAAGGTAATGCCTTTTGTTCATGAAAGAAAGAAACTGATACTTCCTGTCACTGATAATGACTTTGGTCTAGATTCAGTTGAGTAAATACATTATCATATTCAATTTGCCAGCAATTCATAGGCTTTAGAATAATAAGCAAAAGTGTCACTCAAAAAAAAGCCCCAAACTGTCAACACACAAAAGAAACTGTGACTGTCTGAGGTACCTCACCTCTTTCAAAAAGGAAAACCCCGAGGGTTTTTCTAAAGAAATTTCAACATGAGAAACAAATCTCTTTTGTCTCTTTTAAATATTATAAATACCACTGCCCTAAATTTTTGGAAATATGAGCAAGTAGGATAAAGGGGTAATGCCTGGATTATGTGCAGAGTTTGTTACACGAGGGCAGAAACCAATGACGGAATCAAAAATCACCAAGCTGTGTTTATTTTGTATGTGTGTGGATGTGCACCAAAAGAAAAGGATTTATTCATTACTTGTTAAAATCCAACAAGAATGTTTTGTAATCCAAATCAACCCCAGTCCAATGCTGTTCATCTTTATGCATGTGTGTTTTCTATGCAAACGTCTCCATGAAGGTAATACTTTTGTTTTATAGTTAACCCTGGGTCACTATGAGTTGGAACCCACTAGATGGCATCTAATAACATGGCCCAGGTTAATACAGTGATAAAAAAAAAAAAAAAAAAAGAGCAGGACTGATGAATAAATATGGAAAGGTCACCATCCATATTATTGACCCTTGGCCCCCAATCCTTGTGCCTTCAGCGCCCGGAGCCTCACCGGACTCATGGCCAACCAGCATCGCCACAAGGAAGGCTGCCTATTTAC